GATCCAAATTAGCATCTAATATTTCCAAACACATAATTGTTCCTGAAGTGAACTTATGGTGCATAGCCTGGACAATTACTGGATTAATTCTGTGTCTTTATACTGTAACATGTACCAAAAAGAAGCAAAGTTTCTACAAACTCAAAAGACTGCTGTCTATATTTAATTCAGTTAAAATCCATGCTAATTAATATCATGCAGGAAGAAAATAATAGTGTGAAAGTTTAGATAGGAGTTGCTTGCAAACTGTTTTAAAAATATTGCACTCACTCTCACAGGAATTGCCATTATTATGGCAAAAGGGAAGCAGGGAAAGACCCAAATTCTGTCCTTATTCAAACACATTACGGATAAGGGTATTCTGGTCTATTTAAAGTGCAGAGACATCACACTGACAGCAAAGTACGCATTGTCAGGACTATGGTTTTTCTAGTTTCAACATTTGGCTGTGAAAACGGGACCATCAGAAAGAATGAACAAAGAAAAATTGATGCCTTTGAATTGAGGTGCTGACAAAACCTGTTGAGAGAACCTTGGACTGCAAAAAGAACAAATCCCTCAATGCTAGAGGAAGTAAAACCAGGCAGCTCACTGGAAGTGCTGATGATGAAGTTACAGCTGAAATATTTTGCCCAAGCTATGTTCCACAATACTGAGAAGGCAAGAGTCACTGGAGAAGACCCTGATCTTGAAAAAATTGAAGGCAATTGAAAAAGAGGCTGATAGAAGACAAGATGGCTAGAGATTATCACTCATGATACAAGCATGAATTTTCAAGAACTCAGAGAAGCAGCTGTTGACCAACAATCCTGGCAAAATTATGTACAACAGGTCAGGAGGACTTGGAATTGACTGAATGGCTGGTAAAACTTACATAAATTAGTCAGGTAGACAATTATTTCTTATTCCCTAAGGTTAGTAGGAAACATAACAGTAAACCTGCTGATTATTGAGGGCAAGAACATCTAGTTACACTCCTCTATTTTTTTACATTTAAATCATTCCAATCTTTTATTTAATTTTATTACTCCAGGCAGAGCAAGAGCTTCTGCATTAAAGCCCTTTTCTTTAATAATGGAAACGTCAGTATTTTCTGAGCCTGAGATGTGGCAATGATCTCTATAACTATACTACTGAATGTCTGTGCTCAGAGGGACTAGGAGAGGGAGTGCAGGAGATGCAAACATAAGCTTAACAAAGAATCACTTGAAGAGAAACTCCTGAGTAATGGCTTTGCCCCAAGCCAAGAACAACACCATCTCCATGTCAGCAATTAGAAGAGCCAGGCATCACAGCCCCCTTCGCACAAGTTAACTTACAAGGTTACCCAAGCAGAGCACTATGGATGTGGTCCCCTTGGACAGACATTAAAAACATGCCTAGTATTTCTCCGTCACTAAAAGTTGGAAAAAGCTGAACATGAAAGGAGAAGCCATACGAGTAGACCTGATGGATATTATCAAACTTGGAAGTTTCTTTTTTTCTCCTTAGCAGCTTCCTTTTCAAAATGGTTTAGGAAACTACAACAGGAATTAATTTTTGGCTTTCTTCTGTACCTAATGCTCACAATTTGGGGGCAGAGGACTTCAGAACACATGCTTATAAAGCTAAGAAAATATGCTACAAAAACCATACTTTTGCACAATAGATTTAAGCGTGATACAATAAAGAAACAAAGCAATTACTGTGCCATATTTACCTACATGGAAACAAATTGCCCAGTGTTATGTTTCAGCTAAAGTTACTATGTATTACAAGAAACTACATGGGCTAGCTAAAATGAAGAGTATACTCTAGTAAATTCTCATTATTCTAGATACAGTGAAAAAAACATGCTAGTAAAAATAATTTCATGCATACTTGGCAATATGATGATATCTTTCAAGCTTTTAAGTTATAAAAACTAAAGCAAACGAATACATCAAAGTAATCAGACAGACTGCAGATATATTGGGGAAGAAAACTTATCTTTACAATAGTGATTAAGGTGTTAGAGTAGGAATGAAGAGATCCAGGTTCCAGTCTACCTTCAACAAAGAAGCCCACTAGATGACTTTGGGCCAGTCATGCTCTATCAGCCCAACTTATCTCATAGGGTTGTTGTTATGGGGAAAAATAGGAAGAGGAAATACCCTCTTGAGCTTCTGAAATGCAGAGTATAAATTCTAATAATTATAAATGCAAGAAAAAAGAAATTTGGCAGTATAGGATACAAAATCCAATACATCAATCGATACAACAATCTACAGGGCTGTAATTCTGACAGAAACCGAAGAAAATGTAGTTTGGTTATTTTAACTTTCAAACTGATCTGATCTGAGTAGAAGTAGTACATTAATGAACAGGCGATGAAGATTTCTGTAGAGAACTATCTGTCCCTATGGCCTTTTGTACCTGCTTGCCTTCTTGTGCAACCTAGCTGCTGTTAAACTTTCTTTCTCTCTTTCCCTGGTTTCTTTATATGCTAATAAAAACCTACAGGAATCTTTCAATTTGTAGGAATTTATTGCAAAATTACTGTGCAAATCAAAATACAGGTAGTCCTCGGGTTACAACCATTCATTCAGTGACCGTTCAAAGTTACAGTGGCAATGAAAAAGGAGACGTACAACCAGTCCTTGAAGTTCCAGCTGTCATAGCATCCCGTGGTCACATGATCACCATTTGCGACCTTCGCTCCCAGCTTCCCACAAGCAAAGTCAACAGGGAAGCTGGCAGGGAAGGTCACAAGTCGCTCCAGTAAGTCGCTCATACCCTCCCCCACCTGGCAGCAGCCACTCCTGACCCCGCCACACTCACGCCATGCACCGCACCTTATCTGCTTGCTTATCTGATTTGTACAAAATAACCCTGAACTTCTAATTTTTACCATATTTGGCTCAACTCTGCCTGTGATTCTTTTTGCCTATATATCCTCCAAATAATACATAGCTTCATGCATCTTAGTCACCTGATGCCGTGCTCGGCTCTGGTCCAAAAGCTGCCGTGACTGAAGCTTCTGTTGTTGGAGCTGCTGCAAGGCAAAATGGAGCTGATAGCTGCCGACGCTTGCTGGGGTCTTGGGATGCACTGGTTGGCTTCCTATCAACTTACTATGTATGCTGTTTTCTGTATCCCCTTCCCAGGCAAAGCTGTCAGATTCTAGGGTCCTGCAATGAAAACAGTTTCACTTAAACGTTTACAGTGCCAGTGTAATAAGCCTGAATACAAAGAAAAAGCATGCCCAATGATTTTTTTTTCTTGCTGGCCTGACAGTTAAGAAAATGTTGCCAGTCCTACAACAAAAAAGAACATGGCTTTCACCATATCTTGCCAATCAGAGGAAAAAAATTATATGGTGTATACTAAGAAATCTCTTGGGTAATATATCTCTTGGTTAATATGAGTGGAATAAAGAATTAGAGGTTCCTATATTGCCTAGACAATGGGAGAGTGTCTTAACTTCTCTAGCAAGATTGTCAGTGGACCTTAAACTAAGACTTGCACAACCAAAAATAATATTTAGGATTTACTGGACACCATTACATTTGAATAGAAAAAGTCTGTTGAAGACAGCATTTTGTTGGAGATGTAATAAGGATAATGCTTCTTTAAAACACATGACCTTACAATGTCCTATACTTACTAAATTCTGGGAGAAAGTACTGGATTACATAAATATGGCTGTGCGACAAAATTAAAATTTTCAGAATATTATTTTGAATTACTGTACATACCTATTACATGGAAATTGACAACTGGACAAAGTAAATGGATTTGCCGTGCCCTTACTATGGCCAAAAGACTGATATGGTGGCATTGGAAGGATAAATGTATGGCCCCCTTCACTCAATGGATTGAAGACCTGATCATACTTGCCACCTATGAGCTGATTGCCTATAGACGTAGACTTTGTATGGACAAGTATAATGAAATATGGAACTCATTTATACAAAATACAGTAGGTTAAGACGAATGATAGTTATAAACATATATTAGAAATAAATATATATGTATTTGAATTATATTTACACTAGATAAGTATATATAGAATTGTAACAGTTGTAATGATATACAGTGGTGCCTCGGTCCACGAACGCTTCTGTTCACGACCAATTCGAGTCACGAACAGCCCCGTTCGCAAAATTTTGCCCCCGTTCGCGAACGCCGGATCGGGTTACGAACAGGATCCGCGGCCATTTTCCCTCCCGTGAC